TGGGAGTACCAGGGTCATCCGGTTGTTTTTTGGGAGTACCAGGGTCATCCGGTTGTTTTTTGGGAGTACCAGGGTCATCCGGTTGTTTTTTGGGAGTACCAGGGTCAGTTGGTGTTCCGGTTTCCTTGGTCAACTTAATACTACCATCATGGTTATTATAAAATATCCTTAACTCCTCACTGGCTTCGATATTTAACTTGTTAGGTAAGGCTGGTTTGGAACCTCCTGCCTCAAAACACATATTCAGCGTATGCTTTGGCGTTCGGTTATCCTTTACTTCGGTTTCCTTAAACTCCATTTGATAACTTTTACTAGTGGCAAAAATATCTTTAATTTCGGTTATTTTATCTCCCCCAAAATTTAACTTGGTAATTTTAGTCTTTTCACTCCCTTTACCGGTAGGAAAATTTATTTCTTCAATTTTGATTACGATCGGACCAGAATTAAGGTCTTGATTAATAATTTCAGTGATTTTAAATTTAATTGCTGTCATATTATTTATTATATTTTTTTTTTTATTTATATTATCAATTCATTATTTTTTACTCTTTATATTTATTTTACTATTTTTATGCCTGGACCCATCGTGGTAGAAAGAGTTATGTTTTTTAGAAAATCCTTTTTCCAACCCACTGGTTTTAGTCCGGTTATTTTTTTATACAAACTTTTATAATTTTCCTCTAATTGTTGCTGGTTAAAAGCACTGCTACCAATTACCGCGTGAATATTACCTCCTCGGTCAGTTTTTATTTCTTGCTCCCCTTGTTGAAAGTTATTTACGGCCTCCAACACATTTTCAGTTAAGGAGACTTTTCTAGCAATTAAACCAAATAACTTAGGTGGTAATTTTTCCGGCACTCTGAATTTCTTTTCATTTTGAGGATGAACCACCAACTTTTTAAATCCTCACTGCGTTCTTTTTTTAATTTTATTATTTTTTTCTGAGATTATTCTTTGGTGAACTTCTTCCACTGATAACAATTCCACTGCTTTAATTTTAGTTAAGTCGTTAGTCATCTCGACCGGCAAGTCATCTTTAACTACGGCTATTTTTCCTTTTGGGGAAATAGGATGAGGTAAAATTATTTTGCTTCTCAAAGCAGTAATAGTTTTTCGCTTAGACTGGTTTAAAGCAAAACAAACTTTGATATTTTTTAATTTCTCAGGATTATTATTTCGCAAAAATTCGATGGCTTCTAGCACATTATAGTATTTATTATTAGGAATTTTTTCCTTAATTTCTTGATAACGACGGGAGTGTTTCATTGTATATTATAATAATTTTATCTAATAATTTAAATTCAGACCTCAATTAATTCAAAGCAAGAAGTTGAATACTCTCTTTTTTTCTCATTTTCGAGAATAATTCTCCGCTTTCCTTAATAACTTTAAACCTTTCCTCCTTGAATTTTTTCAGTTCATCACTTTCCTTTCTGACCGGTAATTCCTTCTCATAAAGAAATTAACAATTTTTCCCAAGTCTCTTGATTTATTTTCCCTAATTTACCAACCAATCTTAATTCTTTATCGATGGTGTGAACTCGATTAGTTAAAATTCTGCTTAGCTCATCTAAACCAGTTTCTTGGTTAGTTTTTACCGGAATTTCAAAAGGCTGGACTTCACCGGTAATAACTTCCTCAGTGGTTAGTGGCAGGACAATTACTTCCTCATCATATTCATTTTACCGATTATTACTGATTATCACACAAGGACGAAAAGGTTTGCGACCTTCCTTGACTTTCGGAAATTTCACTAATCAAATTTCACCCTGGCGGGGAATGTGTAGCATTTCTCTTTGTTGAGGAATAGGTTGTCGTAATTCTCCTTTTTTAGGGAACTTCGATTTAGGTTTACTTATCACTATCTCCTAAGGTTTCATCTCATACGGACAAATCAACTTTTAGTTTTTTGTTTTTAGTTATAGCCTGATAACCACGAATTAGTCTTTGTTGAAATTCCGCTTGGCTTTCTTTTTTTTGCTCTTTGGCTAACTTTTCCGCCACCGCCTCGTTGATAAAACGACTAACTTTCCTTTCTCGAATTAAAGGCAATAGTTGCTGATGTAAGTCCTCGGAGAGATAAATATTAATATTGCGACCAGTCATATAATTTATTTTATCTATATAGAGACAGAGAGAAGTTTTTGATCATAGCATTTTTTTGGTTCGCATTGAATTTGGCTTTCCAATCCAGCAATTTTTTTTGCCAAATTTTTATTTTTCTCTCTTTCCTTGACTAGTTCTCACTCGGTTGTATTAATACAAATTTTAAAAGTTAAATAGTATCCTTTTAATTTTTAACCAACAATCGGAATATTTATTTTGCCTTGATATCCATATCTGGCACGTTATTTAACTCCTCTAATAAACATTGATTAATTTCCACTAATTTAGAAGAACAAGTTTGAGTTCTCATTATGCAGTAAACTCCAATCAATAAATAAATGACTAGGATAATTATTAAAATTCAATCAAAAACACAATTGAACCTTTCTCATCCACTACTGCTCGATCAACCAATTTCACGAACTTTTTTAATTCCAGAATAATTCTTGTCTTTAATTGAAAACCCCATAAAGAGAGTTCAGAAGAAAAAAATATTCAAAAAACATTTGTCTCTTTCCCTTTCTCAATAGGTTTTTCGCCGCATTAGTTTTATTAATCGAAATTTATCCATCGGATTTATGGTTTAACCCTTCTTAGTAGTTTTTTTCTTACTCACTTTAGGTTTTACTATTTTTTTTTTCTTACTTGGTTTATTTTTTAGCAAATTGGATTTATGAGTAGGTTTAGACTGAGTGATATGCTTTTTCTCTTTGGTTGGCATTATTCTATCTTTTTTTAGTTTTTTGTTCTCCCCTCCGCAAAAGGGTTTTTCTTTTTTTTCTGTTAGTGTCGCGAGTTCCTTTTTTACTTTTTTTTATCTTTGGCATAATTATTATTATTTTTATATTATAACTTTCCAGACCTCTTTAAGATAAAAATTAATCATTTACTAATTTTATAATTTTTTCTAGGTAAATAATGGTTGAGCCAATAAACACTACTCAAGTGAAAATTGAAACGACTAATCGAAAAGTTTTGGATTCCTTGAACACTTTTAGGAACAAGTAGAGCAAAACAAATATTGCGAGAACGTAAGCACCAGTTTCTACAAGAATTTTAATTTTTTCGTTATGTCAACTGAGTTACTTATCGGTTTTGAATCCATTAAAACTCCGCACAGTACCCGCCACAATCTTTTTGGCTTTTTCTAGGTCATCGGTATTCAAATGAGGCAACTTTTCTTGAGCAATTTTTTCAATTTCTTCTTCGCTGATAGTTTTCTTTTCACCACTCGCTTTTTTAATTAATTCGGAAGTTATTTGCCCTTGAATAGTAAACTGATATTCCTTTTTATCATTGATCATTATTTTCACATTAAGTATTTTTGAACTTTCTAATTCTTTGGTTTGTTGGTTAAACGCTTGGCAAAATTTCATAGCATTTTTGTCTAAAAAAGCAGTTTTTTGTCCTGGTCTCGCTTGTCCAGGTGGCATTTGCAGTGAATAAACGCGTCATTTTTTTTCTTTCATAGTATTATTAAATAATTTAAATGATTTATATATGGTGCGACCGGCTGGATTCGAACCAGCGACCTCACCGTTATCGGCGGTGTGCGCTAGCCAACTGCGCTACGGTCGCATTTATTACTTTTTCTCCTTATACTAATATTTTTGTTTTTGCCTATGTTGAGAACCAAAAAAATATGATGGGATTCAAATTAAAAAATATTGAACTAGAACTAACCAGTAATTATCTTAATTTTTCCTATCAGCATTCGAAAAGTTAATTTCCTTTTGTCAAACATTATAGGTTGGTTTAATAATAAAAAGTAAAGATTAGGTTTTTATTTAGATTTTCCACCAAATCTTTTGCGTAAATCCTCCATTTGTTTCCTTAGTTTAGGATCATTCATTACACCAAAAACTCCCTCTCTTTCCATTTTTTTTTGCATGGCTTGGGCTTGTTTGGCTTGTTTAATAAATTCCTTTCAACTTTTAATTCCCATGGCTTTTTTGATTTGCCGGGTCATGAATCAAGACATCAAAAAGGCACCAAGGAAGACACCAACGATCATACTACCAGGGATAATAGCAAATAGTAAATAAGCATTCATATACTAATTTTAAGAAGATGGTTAAGGTTGGCTGCAAATCATCTCTATATTTAAAAAAACCATTTACAATTTTAACTAATAATTCAAGTCTAAACCTCAATTATTAGGGGAGTGTCAAACTCCCCTGGTTTTTTTTAGTATTATTTATCATTCCAATCGCCATTACACATATCACAATTTATACAATATTTTTCTCCCCCATCAACATGTTTGATATGCCGTCTCATTGCATTATTTTTTGCTTCATCATACAACTTTGCTGCCTCTATTTTTCTATTCGCATAATCTTCATCCCGTCTACCCCTATTTTTTAAATATCAAAACAAAACAGTGGCAGTAACAGCGAAAAAAATGACAAGGAATATGAGAAAGACAACTAATAATATTAGAAAAGTTCTTTTTTTTACTCTAATAACTAGTGTCTCAGTCATAACTTCCTCAGAATTTCCCTTGCACTTTTACATAACCTTTAACTCTATTACCTCTGTCATGACTCCGAACTGCTTCACGAACCAAAGTAGCACATTTACGCAATACTTCATCGGAAATAATATTTGCCGCATATCAATTATTATCCTCTAAATCATGAGCATAACCTAAGGCTTCCGAAGACGAACAAGCATACCTATTAGCACCATCACCAGCTCAGTTATAGCATTTAATATTTAGGCAAAAACGAGAGACCGGAGTACAAGTGCAACCACCAAGCCCACTACTAGTTTCACCTGCTGTTCCTGTTTTTTGATACTGGTAAGCATAATAACCTACTTTATCACCAACCATCCTACGTTCACAGCCATCAGGACAAGGTCCGCACCCTTTCACTTCACCTATCCTACCACCCTTTAAATCATCATAATTAAGAGCATCATCACACTTGTAAGTTTTCATAAACTCTTCAAAAGAGGGAATTTGATACTCCTCTTTTAATTCTTGAACTAATTCAAAAGGTTTTTTATCTACATATTGATTTATATTGTTATTACCTGTCATTTCATTATTTAAATATTTATTTATTGTATTTTTTTATGTTTTTTTGCTAATTTTTAAAACAGTTTAGCCTCTGTTTTTTTAGGTTTATAATTTGGAAGTAATTAACTTCTTAAATTCTTATTATTATTTAAAGTCATTTAGTATGACCGAGAAGCCTTTATTACTCCTTAATATAGTTTTATCTAATTTAATTTCCAGTAATAATCACTAAAAAGTTAAAAAAATATTAATATGGAGAATAATTGAGAAATTTTCAAACAAAAAAAAACTGAACTACTTGAAAAAGAGTTAAAAGTGTTTATTGGCAAATTAGAGAAAATTCGCAGTAATCGAATTTCTTTGGAAGTAATTAGGGGTTTAACGATAAATTATCAAGGAGAACGAAAACCATTAAAGTCAGTTGCTAATTTTTGAATTTCGCCTAATCATGAATTAGTGGTTCATTCTTTTGAACCAAAAGCAACCCCCTTAATTAAAAAAGTAATTTTAGATGAACAATCAGGCTATAAATTTGAACGAGATACTAATGATGAACTTTATTTCAGTCTTACCACTATCACTACCCAAATCAAAGAAGGGCTGATTAAAGGGGCAAAGTTAATTACTTTAGAAGGAGAGAAAAACTTCCGTTTAATTCACCAAGATTTAAAAAAATGGCTAAAAAAAGAGGCTGGACTTTCTCAAGACCAGAAAAAGACTTATGAAAAACAAGTCGATAAACTAATTAAGGATTATCAAGAAAAACTCCTAGAAGCCGAAAAAAAGAAGGCTCGCGAGTTAAGTTCCTAGAAAATTAAATAAACTTCACCCCCAAGAATAAAATTTATTATGACCTTTTTGGCTTTTGGCAATCACACCGTTCGCAATTTACTTCATTCTCCTTATTTCACCTTCAAAAAAATACTTTTACGAGAGGAACATCATCAAGACAAAGAATTATTACAAATTTTAACTAATAAAAAAATACCTTATCAATTGTTAAATAGAGAGCAATTTTCTCGGTACAGTCCGGACAAAAAAAGTCAAGGAATAGTGGCTTTTATCCGCAATTATGATTACATAACCCTACCTTCTTTATTATCCTGCCAGCCACAGCGGAAATTCCCTTTAATTATTGTTTTAGATGGCATTGAAGATCCCCACAATTTTGGGGCAATTTTACGAACTAGTGCTGCTTTCAGAATTGATGGTTTAATTATTGCTAAAAGAAACCAAGTTCAGGTCAATAGCACGGTAGTTAAGGTTTCCATGGGGGGGGCAGCTTATGTTCCAGTCTGTCAAGTAAGTAATTTAGGAGAAGCAATTGAAAAACTAAAAGACCAGAATTATAAAATTATTGCTACAGTCTGCGACCCTAAATCACAAGCATATAACCAGCTTAAATTCGACGCTCCCACTTGTCTAATTTTTGGTAATGAACACGAAGGAATTAAACCTAATTTGGTTAAAAAGAGTCATCATCGCCTTTATATTCCAATGAGTAATCAGATATCCTCTTTAAATGTCTCAGTAAGTTGTGGAATTGTTTTGGCGGAAGTAGTTTCTCAGTGGGAAAAATAGCAAAACAAATAACTCTAATTAATTTTGAAACTAGTTTTAATAAGGACATTTACTGCCAAATTTTATTTTACCTTTATTACTTTTCTCCACCTTATCTAATTTAGTAAATACATCCTCTATCGAGGCTTCTTCCAAACCTCGTAATTCTTTTTTTAATTTCTCGTTCCGAGTATTGGACTTATAACCTACAATTAGTTTTTGCCGTAATTCTTTCCGCTGTTGTTGTTGCTTGTGCTGTAATTTTTCCTCGACTGCTTCGTTGATAAAACAACTAACCTCCCTTTTGGAAACTAGGTTTTTTAGCTTGCTATATGTTTCCTCACGAAAATAAACATTCATATTCCATCCTGCCATAATATTTATTATAATGTTATTATTATCACTAATTCTTAAGGAACTAACTTGTTAAAGACTATTCAATTATTTTTATAGACTTCTGCTGGCTCACAAAAATATTTTTTTTGATGGATATTTAGGATTTTGCTTTAAAAAAATGAGGAGAGTCTGCTTAACTTATATATAAAATTAATAATATAGAATACTTGTTAATAATGAAGTTTCTATACAAAGAGTAAAAAGGATTGATTATTTGGTTGATACAGCAGGATAATAAAAATTAGCATGCTATAGGCAAAGATGAATATGAAAATAAAAGAAGTTTGTCTAATGGCAACGGTGGATGACATTCTTTTTGGGTTAGGATGAGTAATAAATAAATCATAAAAAATATATGGAGCCAGAACCGATAATGGTAAAAAGAAATACTAAGTAAGCAAAAATTGGAAAAAAACAATTAAGCAAGGAACTTAGGAGGTATTTCAAAAGTAAATATGGTAGTTAGTGTTTCAATAAGAAATATTAATGAATGCATTTCTTTCCTTAATTGTCTAGGGCTAAACTAGTTAAATTAGCAAATAGCAAAAACATAAAAGATAAGGGAATTATTTTGTTCCTAAGTATAACAAAAATTATAAAAAACACATAAATATTTAAATAAAAATATGCCAAACGATAAGACAGAAAAAAACAAAGAACTTGAACTAAGACTTAACGAATTTTCAGGGGTAATTACAAAGAGTGGGTCAATTTTAATAAAATTAAACAGCGGAAAAACACTAGAAGAAGCAATAACTGACTTAATAAATGAAAACATTAAATTAAAGAAAAAAGTTAAAGAATTAGAAGATGAAAAAATAGACAAAGTAAAGTGGATGGAATTGTTAAAGGAGGTACTTGGCAAGGAGAATTTTGATGAAAATGGTAAATATAAGGGGGCGGCATCAACCGCGACTCAGCAACCTGCTACTTCTCCCTCACAAACACAGAAGCCTGGAAGTACAGCCAAAGAAGATCCGTGAAAAGTCTTTTTTTCCGGAAAAGATATTAATGAAACTGACCAAACTGCTTGAAGAAACAGTGGCTTTTCTATTGATGATGCTAAGACAGTTTATGATAATGGTTGGAGAAATATTACTAATAAGTATAGTTCAGAAGGTCAAACAAGTGAAGGTATTGACCAAAAAAAACACCAAAAAGGCGAAATAGAGAAAGTTCACAAATTATTGAACAAGATAGACAAACAAACCGATTTATCTAATTTACCAAAAGACAGCCAAATTAACATAATTACTTACGATGAAAATAAGGTTCCTAGTAGTATAAACTATGCGAATGTTAAGAAAAATAGAGATGATAAAAAATTAAAGTTGTTTAGAAATGTTTTTGAAGGAAACAACCCTCCTACACCTAGAATTAACGATGATGATTTGAAAAAGTGATTAGATGAAGGAACTGGTTTGTCCAAAACGGGAACTGAGGAAAGGACTGTGTATAATAATGGTTGAGCTGACCCAACAAAAATTAGCAAAGGTAAGCAGAACTACGAAGGACTAGCGGTTAAAGTTTTATTTCATAATAAGGAAGAAATAGACAAAGTTAATAACTTAATTAAAGAGATTAATAGTAAAAAGAATTTTAAAGAGTTGGATGGTTGAAGAAAAGAAAAAAAGGCTGGAGAAAGTGATTCAACTAATGAGGATAAAATTAATGATTTAAAGGATAATAAATTGCCAGAAAGCAACTTGAATCCTGCTAAAGTCCGGGCTTTATGAAGTAATAATTGAGAAGCCTCGGATATTAAGGATAATGGTGAAGGTGATATTCAAGTAACTAACCCTGATGACTCGGAACATCCATTAGTTGGTTTTGATGCCATTAATGTCGATAAATTAACCCTCGGTCAAACTGCTTGGCGTGAAGGAATGGTTGGCGGTTCTGCAGGTTTTCGTAATACTGCCCTAGTTAATGATCCGACTGATCATCCAGTTATGGATTCCTGACTAACCGCAGTTAATGGAAACAATATTACTCGAGCCAATCTTTCAGCAACTCAAGCTAAGCAACTCTGAGATAATAATTGAGAAGCCTCGGATATTCAAAATGATGGATCCGATAATGTACAAGTAATTCATCCTACATCAGGAGAAAAGGTAATTGGATATGATAAAATTATTGCTCTAGGAGATAAGTCAGTCCTAAAAAGTACTTCAACAACTCCAGTTACTACTTTACCTGCTACTGATCAAGGAAAGGGCGGAGCAAATACTGATCAAACGGCAGTAAGTGAAGTATTAAAACTCTGACGAACTAAAATGGGTGGTGTTGGTATTGGATCAAGAAATAAACCATTGGATGGTACAGGAAATAACTCACTTGATAACGCTATTATGGATGATTGGTTTAAAAAAACTAAAACTGGTGGAGGATCTATTTTGGATGATGGTAGACAGAAAGAGGATGTCGAATGGAAATTTAAAGTCAAAAGAAGTACTTTTTCTTATTTTTTAAATGAGCCATATAATGAAGTAAATGGTGATGGATTGACTAATCAGGAATGACAAACTACTTTGACTGATTTAAGTAATGACTGAAAAATTGAAAAAAGAGGAGTATCCACAGCTAAAATAATTAATCAATTCTTGCAAGATAACGAAGTTGAATTTACTGATGAAAAAGGAAATAAAATAACAACTTCTGATCCAAATAAGGTTGAAGATATGACTCCGTGGTTGATAGGGCTAGGAGGATTTGATACGACTAAGGAAGATGAAAACGAAGTAAACGTTACTTGAGATACTGATGATATTACTGTTGATATTGATGGAGTACAAACTACTATTACTAAAGGAACTAAATTAAATGGTAAACAACTGGAAGCTATTGAAAACTATTGAGATATTAAATCCAAAGGTGGGCTAACGCTTCCTTACTTTTATAAGAAGTGCGGGTTTGATCCTGAAAATCCAGAGTTTTGTGAAGTTGGTAATCCTCAAAAAGGGTTACTCCCAATTGGCACTGGAGTAGGAAAGACAACTAAAACCGTTGCCTGTTTATGTAATGGTGGACAAAAGAATGCTGTGTTAGTTTGTCCAAATAAAGGACTAGCTCAATCAGCCTATGACAATCATTCCAGTTGGTTGCAAAAATGGGGCTGTGTTTATCACAAATTTAATCGTCGAATAGTGGAGGAAGAAGTAGTTAAGGTGGATGAAAAAACTGGTAGAAAATGAAAAACTAAGGAAAAAGTAGTCCGTTATGATACCCATGGAACTTATCAAGTGGTATTAAATGATGTCATCATTTCTAAGAAGAAATTGGCTGACAAGGATGAGAAAGATAATGATATTCCAGGAACGGAAAAGTTACGATGGGGAGTTTCAATAATGGATCCGGGACATTTTGATGGTTTCCTAACTCGGGCTGTTTGGAATAAACAAAGATTTCAAGATCCTTCTGATAATAATAAAACTAAAATAGCTCCTAATTTACTTAAGCCTTATGGTCCGACGGGTAAAGAAAAAGGAACTGAATTAGTTCCAAATGTTACTGCTGATACTGTAAAAGAAATAAAAACTAAGAAAATTCCTGATGATGTTATTATTCTCTTTGACGAAGCTCATTTGACATTCAATAGCACTTATCGAGAACTGTTTGAAGATGCTATTGAATTAGGATATAATGTGTTGAAAATGAGTGCTACTTTTCCAGGTAAACCGTTTTCGATCACTACAACTTTCCCACGAAAGAACCTTTACATGAATTACTTACCTGAAAGTTATAAAAATAGTGATGGGGAAGTGGTCGATTTCAATGCTCAATTAGCTAAAAGTAGAATAGGAATCTTTTTAAAAGATGTAGTCAACAAAGAAGTTATTGAAGATAAAAAAAACAAGAAGACGATTATTAAAGAAAATTCTCTAGTTACTAAAGTTTTAAGCGACGAAAATATTCCTTATGTTATTATTAATGAAACTAACCAAAAGTTCTTTGAAACTATTACTTCTGGAATGCCTGATGGTTCAGTTGTAATTATTGATAATTCAAGAGAAATGGGATATACTCCTAATTTTGATATTATTATTTGTTCGGGTTTAGTTCAATATTCAAGATTAAAAAAGAATTGACAATACACCGTTTCTTCTCCTTCGCCTTATTCTTTAGCTTCAATGGTTCAACAGATTGGTCGGGTAGCCCGAATTATGAATGGAACAGCAATTATTCTTTCCAAAAAAACACAAGAACCAAAGACTGAAATATTAGATAGGAAAGGGAATAAAATTGAGGATGTGGCGGTTCATGTAGTTAGAGCAGCGTTAATGGGAAATATGGATTCTCTAAAAGAAATTAGTTTTGGTAAAAACTTAAACCTATTAAGAGCTGCTATTTCCTTGCCAGGAGATTGTGATAATGAAGATGATAAAACAGGCAAGTTTGGCTTGCCGCCAGAAGTATTAATAGTAGGAGCTGCGGGAACTCAGACAGCTAGTTATGTTAAACCAACTTTCCATCGAGAGTTAACGACTTTTAGTCCTGATCAGGTCTTATATTCTAAGCATACCAGAGAGTGAACTCCACCGCCATTAGATGAAAGAGAAACCAGAGAAATTTTAAAAATGATGGTTCAAACTTATATTAATAAAGATAAAGAATTTCCTAAACAATTGCACACTACCGTTATTTCGTCATTGATTGGGCAGTTATACGATGGATCAGATCCTAAAAATAAAGGTCGGGGGCTTGGTCAATTTAAGTTAGAAGTAGAGGATGTCGAGAAAATTTTTCATACGGTAATGAAAGATAAATTGGCTGAAGTTGATATTGAATTAGCAACTAATCCTAATAAGATACAATGACCTGCTTCCGAAAAAGATAAATTTAGTAAGATAGTAGATATTTATCGTTTAGTTTTGGGAACGAAAGTTGATATTCCTTGGCGAGATATTGATCCTGATGATCCAAATAAGGGAAAAAATTTGGTAGTTGAATTAAAGTATCCAGCACCTATTGGTAAGAGAGCAATTTTTTTAGAAAGTGAAGAAGAGAAACAATTGAAGAGCAAAATAAAATTCATTTTAGAAGCAGCGAATTTAAATATCTTTGATGAAGTAAAAGAAGTGTTAGAAAGAGACACCTTAGAAGGATACGATATTTTGGCAATAGAACTGAGAACTTCTCCTTTATGTAATAAACTAATTGATGCAATAGGTACAAATAGAGCTAATAAAGTAGTTTATGAGTTAGAACAATTGATGCGTAACCTAGAGCAACTACAAACAAATATTGGGGTAAATACAGGTAAATAAAAATAAGTAAAATTGTGACAAATTTGATTAGAGAAAAGGGAGACTTTTGGAAAATAGGATTTGTTAGCCAAAAATAAAGGAGAATTAAATTATCCTTCCTCTTTTTTTAGCTTCTTTTCCAATTAGATTATTGGTATTAGGTATATTTTTCTTACTAATTAATACCTGAATGTCAACTTTTAGAATTAAGTTAAAACAAAAAAACTAGATGAAAATAATGACTCTATAATTGGGTCTAAATGCTTAGCACATAGTTATAATTCTTTTCAATCGATGTTACAAATTAACTTTGCCTTTTTGGTGTTCCTGGCATGTCATTTGAATTAGTGATATTGTATTGGTGTACTCAAACCAGGAACTCCTTAAGGGACAAGAAAAATTTAAAGTAATAATATATATAAAACTTAAAAATTCATACTATTGAATTAAAGTTATGTATAAAAAACATAAAACATAAACATATATGCCTATGCCCAAACCGATCTAAAATAGTCAATTAGAATACTTTTTACTCAATCACTCCTAATTGGCTATTAATGGGATTAAGTTCCTGAGTGATTGTAAATTTTTTAGACATATTTATTATTTAATAACTTAATAACAATACAAATATTTAAAAAACATATGGTAATACTAGAAAAAGATTTAACAATTGCAAAATCATTCAAAGATATTCAAGATAGTAGTTGGGATAAAGTAATTTTTCCTAACGTGGGCACTATAATTACAGATCGTCGTGTTTTTAAACGTAGGGGGTGGGATCACCGAGTTAGTGTTAGTTTTACAAGTGCCATTTCTACTGTTCCACATACTTCTGTTACTAATTACAAAATTTTCACAGGTTCCGAAGGCAGATATGAATTTAGTAGTTATCAGGCTTGGAGTGATACAGTGAACACTTTTAATAATAGTCGTGGGATATTTACTTCTTATGATACGATCAAAAACAAACCTATCCGGGGTTTTTTGCTGTTACATACCATTAATAGTGTACTTAATGATGCATTTTATGTAAGTGGTAAAAGCGAGAACTTCACTAGTATTATAATCAATGGAAAAGAATACTACAAAATGAAAAAACAGGCAATATTCAACTACATAAAAAAATACTCTGTTGACAGTTTTATGCTTGAAATAACCTATCCTGCTGGAGTAGAATTTGATGCAAAAGAATTTGAAGGAGTAGCAGGAGCCAAATTTGTTGCACCTGGTGGAGGTAAACCGGCAGGGGCTGGAACTCCTGGAAACACACCTTCAACTCCAAACCAAGGAGGTCTTACCCAAGCAGACAAAGACAAACTTTTAGCAAGTGCAAAAAACAACGCAAAACAAAAACTAGCCGATTTCTATCTCAAGACACTGGGTATTGATAATACGCTTATTGAGGAAAAATATAAGGATGATAAAAATTGGACAAACGCATATGGTATGGGATTTAATTTAGATGATATTATCGACAAGTATCTGACCTTAGAAAATGAAAAAGATGCCAAAAAGGCCTTTAGAGTGGTGGCTTGTATTTGTGCTACAGAAAAGATAGAGCAATTAAATGAAACCTACAAAAATTTTAACCCTAAACCAGCACGTTTTCTGAAGGCAATTTCGAAGGTAAATGATGGTTGAAAAGCAGTAGAACAATATACTCAAATAACTAAAGACAATAACCCTTTTTATTTAGAGGTTATTGATAAAAAATGACAAGAATGTAAAAGAGTAGTAGAAAATTTGGTGCAAGAAAACCAATTGCAAGCTTCGCAATTACAACCCCTTAAAACAGGTGAATAAAAAAACTTAGAAAAGTAATTTAATTATTAAACATATATGAAAAGTAAACTAGAAAATTCAACAACAATTTCAATAAAACGTGAGGATTTATCAATAGAAAAAACTGTTTTTCAAATTTTAAAAGAAGGAGGAGGAAATAAAAACAAGGCAGAAACATATTTAAATTGGTTAAAAAAAGAATACCCAAGTACAGCAGTGGGAATAGATGAAGTTTGGGCACGAAAAGAAGTCCAAGAAATATTTAACAAATGGGATGCAGATTGATTAATATTTATTTTATATTTCATTAATAATGAAGAAATAATTAAAAGTATTAAAAACAAGGCAGAAGAAATATTAAATAATAAATTATTTAGTAGTAATAATTCGGATAATGAAATTATAAAAGATTTAAAGACCCAGTCAATAGCGAATTTGATAGATGGTTTTGATTTATGTAAAGTAGATGAGATTGCTTATACTATAGAAATTTGCAAAAGTTTTTATTTAGAATGATTACCCAAATTTATTGAGGATATTCTAAAAGAAAAACAACCAACCCTAGAATTAAAAGATTTGAATGATACAAAATGAAAAGAAATTAGAAACAAAATATTTACTGATTTATATTCTTCTTGAGTAAGTACCAAAAATCTGGAAGAAATAAACAAGTTGCAAGAAGCATTAGGCAAGAATATAAAAGATTTGAATGAATTAGTACAAAGAACCCGAGAGACTGTGGTTAACGATTTAAAAACTGCTAAGGAAAATTATAAAACAAAAAGACCTGATGGTCAACCTTGGGCTTTACCCTTAACCAAGGCAGAAAAAGATAAAATTGATGAGGCTGCTAATAAAGATGATTTAGATGATGTGGCAAAGAAAATAAAAGAAGAACAAGATAAGTATGAATTAGATAGTGCTAACGAATGAATCAGAAATAATATTTCTAACAAAACCAAACCAGAGGAGTTGATAACAACTGAGCAAGACATTGATAAAGAATTAGGTTCTAAAAAACTTCCACCCGGCTTTAAGGATAATGTAAAATTAACCCTTTTAGCAAAACAAATTAACCTTTTGCCAGAACCAACTGATGTTCTAGGAAAGATTAAAAAGCACTTAATGGACACCAAATATAACTGGAGGAAGTGGGAATATTTAATCGATAATGAAAAGACAGATGATGAAGATTATACAGTGGCTTCAATGTATAACCAAACTTTTAGAAAAGAAGTGGCTGAGCATGTGCTACCTAAAATTGAAGTAGCAATAAACACTAACACTATAGAAGGTTATAAAAATCTGGATAAAGAGTGGAGCGGTGAAGCAAATATTGATAAAAAAAGTGAGGTGAATTATAATTTAAAGCGTGATTACTTTGGGGCTTGGATTATTTTAAGAAGTCTTCTAAAAGAAACAACAAATAAGAAAGAAAGTTTAGATGATTTAAAAAATTTAGCAAAAGATGCATTGGGATTAAGTATTGAAGACAATAAAACCCCAGACCAAGTCATAACAGTTATTACAGATGAGATAAAAAAACTAAAACAGAGCAATGATGATATAAAGGAGAAGTTTCCAGACTTGTTCGATAAAGATGGCAAAATTAATGATGATGAACTAAAAAAAATTGAAGACTTAAAAAATAGACCAACCAAAACAAACTATAATATTTTACAAACCTCAATAAAAAAAGCCAATGAAACC